CGTCACTGTGCGGAACCACACGCAGCTAGGAGTCTGATCGCGCAAAATGGGTACTTGCTCAGCAAAGCCACGCATCTTTGCATCCGGGGCGTTCCTGGGTGCTCCTGGCCCGGGGCTACGGCTCACTCCACCTGGGAGGTCGCACGTGGTGCGGGCTAGTCGTGTCTTGGAGCAGCTGCTCAGGGGCTTCTCCCACAGACGCTCTCGTGGCAGAAAGGCTCGGTGACAGCGTCTCCAGGAACTGGGCCTGAGACGCGGTTTCTTCTTGGAGGGATACTTTCGTTTGACTTGGAAATCAAGTCAGACTTCGGTGGCTCCTTGCAGAGAACTTAGAGCGGTCAGCAGCACGGTGAGGGCCCCTCAGATGGGCCACCTTCGTGGGATCCCAGTGGCTCCCGGGGACTTGGGATCTGCACGAGAGGCTCCCTCGGGGGACTGAGTTATTACACGCCGCCGCTGTCTGTCTTAGGAGGAGCGGCCTGACAACCCCGGAGTGGCCCCCACGGCCCAGCTTCCCTTCCGCAGTTCCGGCTGATGCCTTAGAAGTTCCTGTAGCACGTGATTCCTGCAGGTGTCTAGCGGGTGCTCCAGCTAACACAAATTCTGAAACCAGGAGCCAGCAGTTGGCTATTTGTCCTCCTTCTGGGGATTTTCTTTCTGGAACAAACTTCCTCACATGCCAAAGACTTCCGAGTCAGCATTTGCCGAGCACCTGAATGCCGGTCACTGTTTTGCGTGGTTCACATTCTGGGGCTGACATTATAATTATGCAATTGTTCCATGGTTCTGCCATTCATCCATTGATTAAGCCCACTTATTTGAGTTTTTCTAGAAAAATGTCATTAGTTTGATTGGCTTTCTCATTTTTTAAAACAATCCTAAGTGTTTAAGTCAGAGTGAACAAACCCAAGACAGTCACATTCTAAAGCTATTTCAATAAGGTTCTGACTGCTTTTCAAAATATGTCACTTTGTACTTTCGAAAGTAGCTTATTTAAAATATGGTCCTAAGTGAACTAAAATTGAAAGTTTAATTCTAGCAAATGGAGAGCAGAACCTGAATTTTGGTTAAGACTCCGGGTTAAATGATGCATATTTGCAAATATCTCCTACCCTAATCCGTCAGACATGAATATCCATAACTTCAAACACACAGTCTACTGCTTTCCGAACACAGAATGAGCATGTGAAGGAGCAGTGCTTTACACCATCTTAATCATAAGCCATGGTTAAGCTGCAAATCATTAATCAGCCTCAACAATGAAGATTTCACCCAGAACTACATTCAATAC